TACGGACCTATTTCAATTTTCGGAATCGAAATTCGACCCCTATATCAAAAAGTCCACTTCCGGTCAAACTTCTCAAAATCATCCAAATTTCCAACTTTCGTCAATTGACGCCGAAATGACCTACGGACTTCCAAATCAACTTTCGGACGTGCTCCCAATACTAGAATCACCATATAGAGCTATTTCCAGACTCGGAATCCCAAACAGATATCGATAACATTGAAATACACTTCAACCCAATTTTATGAAATTCTTCCAAAATGCCAACTTCCCTAATAGGCGCCGGAACGCTCCCGGATCATCCAAAACCGGGCATACGCCCAAATCCAAAATCATCATATGAACCTGTTGGAACCTTCAAATCCCGATTCTGAGGTTGTTTAATAAAAAATAATACTTTAGTCAATTCCTCCAACTTAAGGCTTCCGAAATCAGAATTTTCTTTCCACATCAACTCCGAACTTCCCGAAATTAAATTCTAACCACGCGTACAAGTCGTAATACCCGAAGTGAAGCTACTCATGGCTTCAAACCGCCGAATGGCGTGCTAGAGATCAAAACGACCGATCGGGTCGTTATAAATTAAATTGTCAGTAATTTAATTTAATAGATTAGTATCTGAATCTTAGCATGGAGAGTTTAAGATTTAGTGGATGAATTTCAAAATTGAATAAGAAGTGCAATTACGAATTTTTAGTGGAATAATTCGTAATTAATTATGGTGGATATTAATTTCGAAAATTAAAAGTAAATTCCATAATTGGAAGCTTTGTTAATTAAATTATGTGGTCCTTGCTGTGCCTAAATAATAGGAAATAAAGGAATCCTTTTTCTGGTGGAAAAGAAAACTCAACAGGTTTTGAAAAAGGGGTTTAACCCTTAAAACTTGTGCTATAACTACAAAAGGTTTTCCACCAATATGATGGCTGAATTTCAGCCCCTTTTCCTAGAAATTTCGCCCACACGAAATTGTAATTTTCGGTTATTATTTGAATAACACAGTAGAAGACCGTGGAACGTTCGGAGATCGTGATTATGCGAGTGGTGGAGATTCCATTGAGACGTTGTGGAACTGAAGGCTTACGTGACTGAAAAGTCGTATTCACGTTTCAAGAGGTAATACGGAAAACTCCGTATATGCTAGTTGTCTAGATTACATGTGAATTTGATACTGGGATTGCTTCCGCTGCTTACAATAATCCATCAATCTCAACGCCACAATAGTCACCTTTCCCACCATCTTCATCGCCTCATTCTAGAGGCAACGACAAGATATTCAAAATACAAAGAAGTAAATTCGTGAAGAATTATTTTTTTTGTATAGAAATATTTTTCCTGGTAATGAAAAATGTAATTACCAAAACAAAGCTCGTGAAGAAGCTGGCAAAACAAAATTCAACTAGTGAAAGCACAACTCAAATATATTATTACGACTTTAATGCTATAGCTATTAATTTGTTAAACCATATATTATCCAAAATTACTTTGTCAAATCATATTAATTAAGATATACGATTCAGTATAATTCTTTTTATTTTTATTTTTTGTGAACACTAATATAACCGAACCTCACAATTCCAAGTCAGTGAGTCACCAAATTACACGAGCTAAATGTTCAAAGTTGAAGGTGAAGGGACATAGGGGACCATCAACCCTAGTTTCGTGTAAATCCATGCATCGAGGTCCACATATAGAAACAAAATACAAGCATTTGTGGTGAAACTAGCCAACTAAACCATGTCCACATATTTGTTTCATACATTTAGCCACTAATAAGTCAAGAGCAACAACTCAATACTAGAACAAAGCAAAAGCTGAAAATATAAACAGGTTTTGATCAGACTAGCTAGTTCAAGGATTTAACTAATAAAGAGAGTATTACTACCGTCGGAATGAGGAATTCTCCGGCACTTTCCACGGCGGAATCCGACAACAGAGACAGAGTGAGATGGTTTTCTAGCATGTTACGCACGGGGAAGAAGGCATACATGAATAGTCAGAAGCTGAGGGAGGTTGAGAAGGCTGAGAAAGTCATGCATCTTATCTGTTGGGGGACCCAAATAGTCCCTTCTCATAATTATAGTGCTTATTCGAGCATTGAGAATAGAAAATCTTTTATATATTTCAATGAAATTTGATTTATTTGGATCAATAACTTAATATATCGAATGACTAAATAAACAAAAGATTGTGTTTACTTTTTACTTTTTCCTTTTTGGGGTTTGTTTTGCCCTTTTTCCTGTTTCATCTTCTTATTTGTCATCTCTTTTATTTTTTTAGCTTTAATTTAGTATGGTCTCAAGGGGAGCGTTGGATGAACGGTAAAATTGTCTCCATGTGATCTATAGGTCAATGGTGGAGCCACCTTATGCTAAGAAGTATCAATATAATTGACACTCTTTTGTCGAAAAATTTCTTATGTGTGTTTACTTTTTTATATTTTGACATCTCTTAGTAAAATTTCTGACTCCGCCACTGCTATTGGTGTCACGACCCAATTTTTCCTTTGTGTAACGTCGTAACGGCACCTAGTCTCTACAACTAGGTAAGCCTAAGATTTTGTAAAAATATGAAATAAAAATATAAATTTAACCAACTATTCAAAAATACACAACAAATCCCAAAACCCGGAACATCGTGAATCACAAACTACAGAAGGAAAAATCTAGTGTCATTATACATCAGAGTCTAACAAGGAAAAATACAGAAGATAATGGATATGGGAAAGAGTAGAAGGGGATTCCGAGGTCTGCGGACGCGGCAGATATACCTTAAAGTCTCCAAAACTGTCCCGGCTCACTGATAGTGCGGCTGATAAGGTGCACCTGGATCTGCACACGAAAAACATGTGCAAAGCGTAGCATGAGTACACCACAATCGGTACCCAGTAAGTGCCAAGCCTAACCTCGGTCGAGTAGTGACGAGGTCGGGTCAGGGATCAACTGGTAAATATATAATAAATCAATATAGAGTGTAATACCGCAATAAAATAATGGCTGAAATTTAACAACAATTAAATCATAGAAGGTAACAACTCAGTACACAGAAACACAACAGGGGATCTCCCGGAATACCGTTCCGTAATCCCAAAGTAAATATGCAAGATATGGGGATCTCCCGGAATACCGTTCCGTAGTCCCAAAGTAAATATGCAGTACATGGGGATCTCCCGGAATACCGTTCCATAGTCCCAAAGTAAATATGCAGCGCGAATTGTAGAAATACAACAACATCACGAAATTCTTACAATTTAGACTAAGTACCAGTCAGGGAAGAAGCAAAAAATTCACTAAGCATGCTGCACATAATTCACACAAACCATTAAGACACGTAGACATGTTGTATTATACTAAACATGATAGCTACACATATTGGAATAACTCAAATAAGAATGAAAATAGATTAGTACTCATTAAAATGGTATAACTCAAAATAACAGGAAAATATGTTGCTGCTCGGTAAGAAAATAAGGTTTTACCACAACTAACCCGTGTACGTACTCGTCACCTCACGTACACGGCGCTTACACATCACAGTAGTTCCAAATCTTAAGGGGATTTCTCCCACACAAAGTTAGGCAAGCCACTTACATCGAACCAAGCTCAATTAATCTGTCGCAATGCCTTTCCCACGAATATCCGGCTCTGAATGACCCAAATCTAGCCAAAAGTAATTACATATCATAAATACAACAACAATAGACTCATCTAATTAATGAAATCAACACTTTAACAAAAATCCCGAAATTAACTCAAACATTGCCCGTGGGGCCCACGTCTCGGAATCGGGTAAAAGTTACAAAATAGAAATGCCCATTCCACCACGAGTCTAACCATACCAAAATTACTAAATTTCGAAATCAAATGGTCCTCCAAATCCACAAATCAAACTTCCAAATCCCTAGCCTCCGACTTACTATTTTCCACCTTAAATACATACTAACTAGGTAGAAAAATACATGGCAAAGCAACATTATTGATAAAAAATAAGCACTAGGGACTTACCTCAAGAAATGCCTCGAAAATGTTCTCAAATATCGCCCTAAACCGAGTTTGCAAAGTAAAAAATGACAAAAATCATGAAGCCTTTCGGTTTTAACCACTATCCAGGTATTTCCGCACCTGCAGAACCTGGGCTCGCACCTGCGGGTGCGCTTGTGTGGAAATTGTGCGCATTTGCGCAATTCACTTTCTCCCTCTGCCTTCGCACCTACGATGAAAAGGCCGCATCTGCGCGTGCGTGCCTACAGAATTCCCTTCCGCTTTTGCGGACCTTTTTACTTCAATAAATTATTTTTTCTAAGACATTCAAAGAGGAATGTTATAAAATATTATATTATGTAGTGGATGCCTTTAACTCCACTACTCTTTTCCATTAACCTCTTACTACTTTAATTTTTATGATGGTAACTCTCACAACTCCATAACCTCCTCCTATATGAAATACATTTCTTAACATTTATATCCTAAATTTTAATTTTAAAATATTGAATTGATTTAATTTAATTTGACTTTAAAAGCTAGTCAATTTAACTCTTGATAAGCAAAAAATGACACAATAACTGGGTCCGAAGAAGTAATAATTTGTAACCAAAACAAAGCGATGAGTTTCAGGGTTAGTTCTTTAATCTCTAGTGGTCAAACAGTTACTAGGATAAGGATATCAATCCCGATATAACAATAGAACAAATTATATATCATTAGCATGGGCAGTTAATCCTATGATAGTTATCGCTATTGTGATAATTTTTTACTCAACTCTCGTGAATAACACGTGAGGTTTAAATTTCAACTCTCAGGCATGTCTATTGCCACTGTTGAACATGGTTTGGATAACAATCATTTTAGGACTAAAAATTTTCACGCGGCGGAGTGGATATTAAATGGTGGAATTTTATTCAATGAGCAGTGTATCTTAATCATCAACTGGCGAATTAGACTCTAAATTGTAGTGCTTTTATTTGACTCCAAACATGTGAATAATATAAAAGAATTTATATGAACAAAGGCAAAAAATGTAGTGCTTTTATTTGACTTCAAACATGTTAGTACAAGTGAAGAAGCTGATGACAGCACTTTAACTTTATGAGTTTTTCAGACCCTACATCCACATTTAAAGAGCAAGGGTATAGTGAAACTCATTTTTACAGCATACTAAGAAATCAAGAAAAAAATCCCATTCTGAAAAACTCAAATAAAATTATAGCTTCAGTAGAATCCAATATGATCATTTGTAATGCAGCTTCACCAAGAGGTTCCCCCTGCAAAAGCAGGGACTTGGATCAACTACACCTCATATTAAAATGATTATATCATCATTAGCAATTAAGCGCTTGAAACAACGTAAAGTTATCTCCATACGACCTAATTGTCATGGGCTCGAACGGTAGAAACAGACACTTATGCTTGCATTGTTGCTCAGACCCTCCATAAACACAAGACGCTTCGCACATCGAGCAATAAAAACAAAAACTTTTACTAGATATGATGCAATTATATAAATTGAGTCACTTACTAAAAGTACTTTTTTATAAGGAAAACTGAAAGAAGATTAAAGAGACCTCAGAAATTAAGGTAAATTTAAAATCAAAGGAGCTGTTAAACTCCTCATATGGTACGGACAATTACCATACATCACTGGCCTCTTAATAACCAAAATCAATCATTTCTTAATAACACACTTTAAAACATTTTTTCCAACCATAAAAGCTAAGACTAAGTGTAAAACGTAATTTTCTTAATGAAATTGAGGCTCAGATAATTAAACAGCTCTATCAATCACGGAATTTCAGAAGCAGAACTGGCATTAAAGCTGTATTTATATATCATCACTGCCAAAATTCAAATAAGCTGAATAATTTTTCTTTTGTCAAAAATTCACTTTATTCTAAAATAAAGTGAAAAATAAGAAAATATAGGCTCATATTAAGAAATTCAACCATTATTTTATCGTTTGCTTCATAGATTACTCTCAGAAGCGCGGATAAATTTTTAAATCATAGCCAACATATTAAAAAATCCCAAATTAGAAAAACAAAAACTTCCAATAAAAAGTATACAATATAGCAGTGGACTTAGGAGTAAAACAGTAAGAAAAATGCAATAAACCCCACGTTGACACTGCTATTTTAATTTCAGCCTCGTTGACTAGCTTTGTTTTTTCACTGAATCAGAAGAAAATAAGCTAAAGGTGATATGAGGCATTTTTTTGTTAAATTAAAAACAAATTAACACAGAAATATTGTAAAGAGGATTTAATGTAGCCGTTGATTTTGACACAGATAAAGCCAAGGGTAAAGAAGGTACAAAAGGGCTAAACTGCAACACTAGCGGCGGTAGATATAGCACGAGCTTTGGGGCTGCTAACTTCATGTAAAAATTGCTCAGGCGAGACCGGGAGGCTACGTGCAGACTGCAGACTTACAATTTTGCTTAGCTGAAATGAAACGAAAAGAGAAAAATAAGTACACAAGTAAAGGTAAATGACCTCAGATCAATGATTTGAAGGTTCATATCGTTATTTTGAACATGTTCATTTACTCTGATTCCGACCATTATTTCAGACGCCATTGGAGGGAAGAGGAGAAGAGGTAGGGTATTATAATAAGGAGGAGGCTATATAAGAAGCAGAGCTGTGGCTTAGTTATATAGAAGAGAGGAGGGGGTCAGTGAAACCCTAATTGCGCCGTTGTGGATCTGTGAAGCTAATGGGCTCTTCTTTCCACAATTAAAATGTAAGAATATGAATTCATATATAAAAGAATTAAATTGAAGTCAAGTATAGAAGGAGATTGATATTTTATTCAATTTTCAAAATTATGTTCATAATGAACTGAAAACTTCTCTATTTATAGAAGAAAGGAAGCAGCTGCGAGGCTTTTCAGGAAGCAGCTGCAAGACTTTTCTTAAGTTGTTTGTAAGTTGTATGCATGAGCTGCTTGCAACCTGCATGTTTAATAAGAAACTGCTGCAAATCATTTTATTGAGTTGCTTGCAACCTGCCTGCATCAGCTGCTTGTAAGCTGTCTGCATGAGCTGTTTGTAACATGCCTGCTTACTAAGAAGCTGCTGCAAATTATTTCATTGAGTTGCTTGCAACCTGCCTGCATTAGCTGCTTGTAGATAAATTTCAATAGAGTACTAAATGGATAATCTTTTTCAGGAAGATTATCTATAGCTGAGTAATGAATGGACATCCACAATATAATATTTTCATAACACTCCCCCTTGGATGTTCATTAAAAGATAATGTGCCTCGTTAAAACCTTACTAGGAAAAACCCAGTGAAAAAAAATCTAGTGAAAGAAAAAGAGTACACATATTTAGTAATACGAATTTCTAGTTGCCTCATTAAAAACCTTACAAGAAAAATCCCATGAGAAAAAATATTAGTAAGAAAAAAAAAGTTCAATGCGTATTTCACTCCCCCTGATGAAAACCTTGTTTCAAATATTTGAGTCTCTGTATTCCAATCTTGTATACCGTCTTGTCAAAAGTTGAAGTTGGCAAAGACTTGGTGAACAAATATGCCGGATTGTCACTTGAACGGATTTGTTGCACATCAATGTCACTATTTTTCTGAAGATCATGTGTGTAGAATAATTTTGTTAAAATGTGCTTCGTTCTATCTCCTTTTATAAATCCTCCTATTGGGCTATGCATACAGCATTGTCTTCGTATAAAATTGTGGATCTTTTATCACATTCCAAACCATATTTTTTCTCGAATGAAATGAATCGCTAATCTCAACCATATGCATTCCCTACTTGCTTCATGAATAGCTATTATCTCATCGTGATTTGAAGAAGTAGCAACAATAGATTGCTTTGTGAAGCGCCATGATATGACAGTACCTCCACATGTAAACACGTACCCGATTTGAGATCGAGCTTTATGGGGGTCAGATAAATAACCTGCATCTGCATAACCAACAAGATCTGCACTACCTTTGTTAGCATAAAACAAACCCATATCAAGAGTTCCCTTTAAATATCGTAATATATGCTTAATCACATTCCAATGTCTCTGTGTAGGAGAAGAACTATATCTTACTAGTAAATTAACAAAAAATGTTATGTCAAACCTTGTAGCATTAGCAAGATACATAAGTGCACCAATTGCACTGAGATAGGGTGTTTCAGGACCAAGGAGTTCCTCATCCTCTTCTGGAGGTTGGAACGGGTCCTTATTCACTTCAAGTGATCGAACAATCATTGGTGTACTCAATGGGTGCGCTTTGTCCATGTAAAAGCGTTTTAAGACCCTTTATGTATAGGCAGATTGATGGATAAAGATCTCGTCTACTAAATGTTAAATTTGCAGACCAAGACAAAGTGTTGTCTTTCCATGATCTTTCATCTCAAATTCTTTCTTAAGATATTCAATTGAAATATGCTATATGAATCGAATTATCATTAATATGATCCTCGCTTGGAAGATAATTCAAGTCAAATGCCAGAAGCATTTGCTGATCCAAAATTAAATATCATATTTCAGCTGTAAATGCTCCTATTAAAATTAAAGTCCCTGAAGGATAGAGTTTACTGTACGTATGAAGCGTGGTAGACCAATCGGTTCCAAAGGTAACAATCTTTGAAAAGAATAGGAGCAAATGATCATAATAATGAGGAAATAAGCTCAGGAAGAGCCCACAACATAACATTTCATGAAACTCCAGAAGAAGTTCAGGTACCTGAAAATAAAGAAAGTGATGAGATCTCAACAAGTTATGTCGCTTGCGAACTGATACGAAATGATCATCGACGATATATTTGATACAATATAGTGCACAATATTGTAAAAGATTGTGAGGATCGGACTTGTAGTCCAGACACCTGAAGATGTCATGCCATTTAAATGTAAGTCATTACCTATATGACTCATTTGATTAATTCCATATGAAGATCCCTGAATGATTTAAAATGTCTGAAGCAAATTCAAAATCTCGAAAAATGTATTCAATCAGATTACAAAGATCTTTGTACGGTTTAACGCAATCTGGGCACATGCGGTAGAATCGCCTTAGTGAATATTTGTTGAAAGAAGGTTACATAAATGGTGTTATTTGTACATGTATTTTTATAAAGAAAATGGCATCAAAATTTGTTATACTTGCTATTTATGTTGATGACATAATTCCATCCTCCAAATGTTAGAAAAACTAACTCATATCCCCAATATTCTTTGGGAAACATATCTTTGTACATTGTGGTAGAGAAATTAATCATATACCGCACATCAAAAGTTATTAGATAGTAAAAAAATTGGTTTTTGATCCTAAACCAATTGTGAGGGGAGGACTTATCATATTTTGTTGGTCTGATGCATACAAGTGCTGTTGTATGCAATTTAGAAAATCTTAGACCAACACATGAGACTTTGTTCTCATAAGCAATAGTTTAGCCATTAATAGGAGGTATTCAATGCTAAACTAGTTTGGATATAAATCAGCATCATCAAGATGAACTATCTTGATTTCATAATCTGAAAATTATGCTCTTAATTGAGAAAGACAATTGCAAATGCCAAACTGCAGGTTGACAATAAACATACATGTAACCATCTTATATATGCATCTATAAGTGGTTCACAAGTTAGGTGAATGGGCCTATATTCACCTTTTATATATTTCAGAATTCGAGGATTTTAGTCCCAACTTTAGCTGGTATAATCAAGTTATTATGAGAACAAGCAACACAAGAGAATTCTTGAAGAATCTTCTAGTTCTTCAGTATATGCTTATCTGAATTCTCAAATAGCTCATTTAAAAATGGCAAATGAAAACTTCAAGTTTATCATGGCATGTGCTATCTCTAAGTAAACTTCTGGTTTACTATGGCATAAACTTTTGCATCAGTAAACTTCTGATTTACTGTGGCTACGTTTGTATCAGTAAATTTCAGATTTACTGTGACTGCTTTTGTATTAGTAAACTTCTGGTATATTGTGATACATGATGTAGTACAAATTTGAAGAATAAGGCAGGTATCTTCTCACATACATATTTACCTCATATGATTGTGAAAACATGAAAATTTTCAATCTTTCAATCATTTGTAGTCTCAGTATGATAGTCATGTGTATTAGTAAACTTCGGTTTATCATAACATATGTTTTGATCACAACAATGACAAATAAGCTCTTCGAAAGCCTTTTATTTATTGTCCACAATCAAATATTATTCAGACACTACTTGTGTCATGTGTCTTCTAGACAAACAGTTAGGTCTTCAGGAGCTTTTGTTGTACTACCAAATATTGCTCAGACACTTCTGGTGTCATGAGAGAAAATCATAATCAAATGAACAATATAAAGCTAATTCTAAATTTATAAATGACGAAAATTAAGAATTTTAATATTTCTACCACTAACTTTGTGACAAATATCTCCTTCAAGGAGAAATATCATTAACATCTGAATATTTTGTATCAATACGGCAGTCATTGCATCTTTTAAGGAAATATACACGAGTTGTTATTTCCTCCGAAAAACTCAATAACTAACCATAATATATTAATGTGGTTGTAGTAGAAAGCATTCTACAAGAATGCTTTTGCCTTAGAATGATATTTAATAAAATTATCCAAGATATTTTACGTACAACAAGTACGTGTGGCAATGATCTTTATGCTACAAAAATAATATTTATATCCTCTATTATTCTACCTCTCCAGGAGGTGAGTTGTGATTTTTCTTCATTCACTCCAGGGAATGAAAATGTGCTTCAAAAATAACTTTGAATAGCTCATTATTTTATTTTAGCACATAAAGATACTGATTCAAAATATTTTCCTACTTCAGGAGGAAATTTCAATTATGTTACTTCTTCAGGAACAAATTTTAAATACGAAATATTGAGTATATATTCTCTCAATTATATTAACTTTTCTGGAGGTGAATTGTAATATATTTACAACAAGAGCGCGTTCATATTTACGACTTTATTAATATTATCACATTCACTTCAGGGAATAGATTAATATTTATCAAAAATTCTCATCCTTCAGGAAATCGAACATAATTATCTGAACGCGCATTAATCACATCAAATTTGATGCTTCAACCTCTTTTAAAATATTTACTACTTCAGGAGCAAATCGAGGCGTGCATGCAATATAGAGAATATTTCTCTAGCTTATCTTTAATTGTAACCATAGAAAGCCTAAATTATTACTTCTGGTGGTCATAGGCATATACCACTTCTGGTGGTTAACAAAATTTAGTTACATTGAGATATACGAAATATAACCACTTCTGGTGGTTGTATATTTCTTGCAAACTCTACTGGAGTTTAAGTGGATCTAACAATGTTATTCACTTTGTAATCCTTTAGTAAGATAAGAAGGATGAAAACAAATACCAAAATAGGTATTGTATACGTAACATATAACCAAACAAGCGATGATAAAGATATTAAAATATAAGCAAAATGCTCAAATTAAATTACGCAAATTTGGCCACTCCATATGTAAGTGACATCTACATCACTACCGCCAAGAAGAAAAACTCACCACCTCAAGGATATAATCTGCCTCATGATGCTCGAAATGAACAAGATCTGACCACGGACATAAGAGTGTCGCCTTACATCGGAGATGAACATTAAAATAGAAATTAAATTCGATGTAAGTGCTCAAAATGGCAGAGTCTTGTGCTGATAACGTGTTATAAAATAAAGACTATAAAAGAAATAAACTGAAGACAAGTATAGAGGGAGATTGATATTTTAGTCAACTTTCAAAGTTATGTTTATAATGAACTAAAAACTACTCTATTTATAGAAGAAAGGAAGCAGCTGCGAGGCTTTA